ATCCACGAAGATTAATACATGAAGACTTGTGACTCTGACTTGACTTGGACTCTTCTTAGGTGACTCGGACTCGAACACAGGTAATGATGACTCGGACTCAACTCGGACACTCCTTGGGTGACTTGGGCTTGACTACGACTCTCCCTAGGTGACTCGGACTTGGATTCGGACTCGAAGAGTGGTGACTGGAGAGTGACATGGACTCGTGAATTGGTGACTTAACTACAACACTGATAATAGGAGACCTTGAAGGACATGTGTTGTTTTTAAATGCAACCTGAATACTTGTTGGATTAAACCTGTCCCACTGTCTTTTTTTTTATCTCCTCTTCAGTCTCGTCGTAGATCTATTCTGTCGAGGCTGCGAATTTGTGCTCGGCATGGTTTACTCCTCAACGCCTAAGAACCTGGACCACAAGAGATTAGCATTCTGTTTCAACGTTGCAAACATTGACAGGTATGTTTAGGGCTTGGGTCATTAGTAGGAATGTTTAAATATGCATACATCAGTTTACATTTGTTCAATGTGAGTTTTGATACATTTAACAGGAGAAAGTGTTATGGTGAAACATGAATGGTGACTGTGAAACATGTTTTTATATCTGTGCAGTCATTTTACAAATAAATATAGTAGCTATGCAGTAAGTTAATTTACTGCAGGTTGGGTTTACTGGAATACACATCAACAACTGGAAGGCATGAGGAAGGAAAAGCAACACTCAAACCAAAGCAAATGAGATGGCTGCAACTATCCATTTCTTCTATCAATTATTGGGTTTTTTGGTCTAGAAAATGTTAGAAAATGGTAAAACATGTCGATCAGGATTTCCCAAACTCAAGATGATTTCATATTTTGTCCACAACTACAAGATTTTCAGTTTACTTTCATACAGAGAGTAAATAATCTAGAAAAATATTCTTGTTTAAGAGGCGGGAATCAAATAATTGTTACTCCTAAAAAGGTATTAAACCAATTATCAAAATAGTTGGCAATTAATTTAATAGTTGACAATAATCCATTCATCTTTGCAAGACTACATCGAAATTGTAAACAGTCTTTTTTTCAAACCAGAAGTTCAATACTACACCTCAAAATATTCCTCAAAACTGAATGTGACAATCTTTACACTTACAAACTGCACATTTAGCTCCCGAACACGTTTAGCCCCCTAAGTTTACACTGTGAATCTTTTCCAGCTACGTGCTGGGCTCTGCCAGCCAGAGGTTGGCAGCAGAGGGCCCCAAAGAGCAGCCAGTCACACTGGAGTACAGAGGCGTTGTTGAACAGCAGCTGACAGAGGTAAAGGATTTCTGCTGCTTTTCTTTGTCTGTTGTTCCTGATGTTACATCGCTCTCAGATGAAAATGTTAAACCCACTGATATATGCGTCTGCTCTTAATCCTACTATTATGTGTAACAATGTATTTTCCCTCAAAAACAGGTACAGATTCATCCTTTCAAAATGGTATTGTGGTGTAAAAGTGATGGATAACTTCCGATCTGAGCATCACATTATGAGTCACTGTTCTCTGTGTTGACAGTGCTCTCACATTGCATTGGCGCTGCCCTCATTGATTATTAATGCTCAGGTTGTTGTAGTGGTGACATCAGCTCTGTTTTTGGAAACCCTCTGTCCGCTGACGGGCAGACGCTCAAATCAGACATTACCTCATCTCACCGTGTCACCCCCTGCAAAGTGACTCATTTCACACTCCATTTTAGACTAGATTCAAACAAAAAAGCATATAAGTATATTTTCAGTAAATTGAGTCTTTAAACCCATATCAATGTATTTTTATAATTTTCTGTTAACTTCTAATTTCAATTCCTTATGACCTATTAGTATAAGTATTATTATTATAAGAAGGCACATGTTTCAGTGGACAGGTGTAGTGGTTCCCAAAGTTCTTCTTAATCACCCTTTGTTTAAATATCAACAATGCACATATTGGCCAGTAGGTGGTGGTAGTGTGCAGCGGCGCTGTTGCACAAAGGACAAAAGCTGTGATGGGGAGCATGCTGAGGAATCTTTGAGAGAGGGAAAACATGTTATGATCATGAAGTGTCTTTGTCCTATAGCCGGATGCATGCATGGTATCTTGGTTTCACTTGGCAGCTGTTTTTTTTAATTACTTACAGTTGGTACTATCAGGTGACTGATGTTCTAATATTCACTCAAGCAAGGAGTGTGTTATGTGATGAAGTTCTCAGGCGCACCTGTTTTTTTCCATTTGGTTAATATGTAAGTTAACGCTTAAATCTACCTCTGATTAGGATGGAGATTAATCTGACTATGGCTATATGCTGATTGTATTAATGTTAGGTGGTGTTATAGCCATCATTGGCACATTGTAACAGGATTATGACGACCCTTTGAGAAGGTCATGAATTAAAATCAGGGCTTTCTTTCACCACATGTCTGTCAGCGGGAACTCATTATGGCTTTCTCACTGACGAGCTTTCTTCCCTCAACATTAAGTATTAGTTTCTGCCCAAAACTGTTCTGCCAGCACTCCATTTACTCACCAAAATTAAAAAATAATGTAACAGCATTGTCATTGGATAAAATTCAATTTTTTTTTTTTGCCTAATGGAATGCTTCGGTGGCAACAAGTATCAAAGCAGTCAGTCAGAAAGCTGCTGATAAGCGTTTTACACATGTTAGATTCTTTCATTTGAGAAAGCATCGATAATAATACTCCTGTGACATTTATATACAATACAAGAGATGAAATGATTAATAGTCTTCCATTACTTTCTCAACAAAGAAATATTCAACAACAGTTTTGGAAATGCTACTATTACTCAGTTGAGTACAAATGTCACCGTTTCTAGTTAATATAAATATTATAATATAAACGAGTTGAAATACCTTTTAGTTTTTTTGTGTTGTTGGTACATAAATAGTTTCTCAACAAGCAATTTAACTTCCAAAACTGTTTGCAGACATTTGATAGAGTTATAAGAAAATCACAGTTGCTGCCCTATTTCTTTTGCCAATTGAAAACATTTATACATTTCTTAAAGTAAGGTTGTTTTGAAATCAGTAGATGCGACTGCGGTTTTGTGAATATTATCAAAATGTTAAATGATACCCAGTCTGACTCTCCTTGCCCTCGGTTATTACTAATGTATCAGATAAAGGTGCCGCCATCGTTAATGTATTCTGCCTGCCTGCCTGTCTCTCTGTCTGCCTGCCTGTCTGTCTCTCTGTCTGCCTGTCTGTCTGTCTGCCTGTCTATCTGCCTGTCTCTCTGTCTGCCTCTCTGTCTGTCTGTCTCTCTGTCTGTCTGTCTCTCTGCCTGTCTGTCTGTCTGTCTCTCTGTCTGTCTGTCTGCCTCTGTCTGTCTGTCTTCCTGCCTGTCTGTCTGTCTGCCTGTCTCTCTGTCTGCCTGTCTGTCTGTCTCTCTGTCTGCCTGCCTGTCTCTCTGTCTGCCTGTCTGCCTGCCTGTCTCTCTGTCTGCCTGCCTGTCTGTCTGTCTGTCTGCCTGTCTCTCTGTCTGTCTGTCTCTCTGTCTGCATGCCTGTCTGTCTGCCTGACTGTCTGCCTGCCTGCCTGCCTGCCTGTCTCTGTCTGTCTGCCTGTCTCTCTGTCTGCCTGCCTTTCTGTCTGTCTGTCTTTCTGTCTCTCTGTCTGCCTGCCTTCCTGCCTGCCTGTCTGCCTGTCTGACTGTCTGTCTGTCTCTCTGTCTGTCTGCCGGCCTGCCTTCCTGTCTGTCTGCCTGTCTGTCTGTCTGCCTGTCTCTCTGTCTGTCTGACTGTCTGTCTGCCTGCCTGTCTGTCTTTCTGACTGTCTGTCTGCCTGTCTCTCTGTCTGCCTGTCTCTCTGTCTGTCTCTCTCTCTGTCTGTCCTGTCTGTCTGACCGTCTGTCTCTCTATCTGTCTGTCCTGTCTCTCTGTCTGTCTGCCTGTCTGTCTCTCTGTCTGTTCTGTTTGACTGTCTGTCTCTCTGTCTGTCCTGTCTCTCTGTCTGTCCTGTCTCTCTGCCTTTCTGTCTGTCTGCCTGTTTCTCTGTCTGTCCTGTCTGTCCTGTCTGTCTGTCTGTCTGCCTTTCTGTCTGTCTGTCTGCCTTTCTGTCTGTCTGTCTGACTCCTAGACACTTGTTTGGGTGCTTCATCTTGTACACTCACTGACCTGTCTCCCCTTCTCCCCCTCTCTCTCCCCCCGTCATACCCATCCACGCCTGACTGCTTCCCCTTTGGGCTTCGTCACTCTTCTTCCCTGTTCCCCCTTTCCAATTATCTGCACTCCACCCTTCTTTCTTCCTCGCTGCTTCCTGCTGCTCCCTTCATTTCCCACCTGTCCAATTTCTCCTTCANTGTATTAATCTTCGTGGATATATGTGTTGAAATGTAGCAGCTCCTCTACATTGCTTTTATCCTGTCATGTTGTACTAATCTGTCTATTGAACTAGGTGCTATACAAATATAAAGCTTATTACTAATATTAATATTATTATTATTATTGTAAATGACCTTTAATATGTGTAACTATATTTAAAATGAGTTACCTTTTAAAGAATTGATTATATTTGTATGCCAATATTTTCTTATGGTAAAGTTTTCATTTTGCACTTTTATTTTGATAGTAATAAGATCGTGACTCTTATTTTGAAGGAACTTTTACCGGAAGTTAATGGACAACAGAGCAGTGTAAACACACATACTATAATGACAGATAGATGATGAATAAATTAACATACTAAATAGTTACATTGGTTTTTTAGAACCTGGCTGATAAGGGCACAAGCTCTTACGTTGGTAATGATTGTATAAAAGCAAGGGAGATCAATAAACAGATACCATCGGTTAGAGAGTCTGACCATCATTCAGCCTGGGACGCTACAATTATTATAGTGAATGTTTAAATTCTATCAATAAAGATTAAGCCCCAGAAAGCACATGTAGCCATGTGCTTTCTGGGGCTTAATCTTTATTGATAGAATTTAAACATTCACTATAATAATTGTAGCGTCCCAGGCTGAATGATGGTCAGACTCTCTAACCGANGTTCACACCGGAATAAGTTCCTGGGGGAAGGATTGGGCAAATTAAGCCTCTGACGTCACTTCTTCTTCTGCTTTGGGTTTACTTGGAGGCCGCAAACAACTTCACGGCGTATACTGCCACCCGAAGTCCCCGGCCGGAAGTCCGCGGAGTTAGGGACTGGCTTCAGTAGAAGCTGCTGGGACTCCCAGCAGCTTCTACTGAAGCCTTCCGAGTGTATCGCCAGAACACCGACACCTCCTCATCTCCACCGCTCCCATGTTTTCTTTTGTGTTGCCATAAGTAAGTCTCTCTGCGTTTCTGCGCTGAGCTAATGCTAATGTGAGGATAATAAAATGGCGGCTTCACAACACTTTTTGGGAGTTTAAAGCGTGGTTTGCATACCGCCCAGCCAATCAGACATAGGAACCTTTTTCTCCCACGAAAGTACCTGCTCTCTAGCAGGGATGGAAAAGGGGGTAAAAAAGGTTCTGATTAACTCATTTTAGTCACGGCTCTTTTTGGTGTGAACGCGACATTTCAGAACTATCGCGGAACTAAAGTGGGAAAAGTACTGCGGTGTGAACGCGATTGTGTTCTTTTTAACCAAATCTCTCTCAGAGGGGCGTGGGGACTGGCTCCTTATTTTCATCTAAAGTAACAGACAGAATCAGCACTTTTGAAACAGGGCTGAAACACAGGGGATTATGGGTAATGCCGCAACGATCTGTTTGGTGTTTGGAGCCACACAACACTTCAGAGACATGTTCAACTGAGAACTATAATATATTGATGAAAAAGAGTATAATAGGAGACCTTTAAGGAGTACATGCTGGTTTCTGAGTAACCTTTACCTTTGATGTAGGTGTAGGTCAGGAGAGAGTTGCTCATAATGGCTCCTGAGTTGTCTGGCCTTCTTGACTCTTTTGGAAAAGGCTTCCTCAGATCTCCAGGAGCAACTGTTGTAATCGTTTGAATCAAAATGTGAGATAAAAGCACATTTTAAAAAACCTAGAATTGCAAGAGATGGCATGATATGGCTATACCTTTTTCTGTGTCCACAGGAGATGAGGTAGAGCTGAATATGTCAGGGTCTGCCTCTCTTAGTAAAGTCTGTGGTACTACTGGAAGGAAAGACAGAAGAGTTTTATATTGTTGTGAACAAATTGATGCAGGTTCTGTGACTGTGCAGGCTACGGGCGAATCTACAGAAAGTTATTCTCAGTATTCCACTTTTGCACAAACCTGGCTGAGAATCATGGTGATAACCGGTCTACAAGGTTAACACACATTGTTCTTCTGTGCTAGATGGAGCCTGACGGAATCATTCTGTCATCCAGGCTGAATTGAAAAATCTCCAACTTTGATACGAACAATGTTTCGGCATGACCTCACTGGCATTTGTGCCAAATGCAGGAAGTTTACCAGGATGCCAGCCTTAACACGCACATCTGAGCTCAGTGTACTATTCCCACTACCATGTTGTTGGGTGTGATTTGATAATAACAGCAGATAAGGGTCCTTGATAGGAAGTTACAACATAACTGTCAATAAGTGCTGACATGACTTGAGCTATGTATAGAAAAATATCACAAAAGCCTTTTCATATTTCGACAGCTCTCTCTAATTCCTCATCAGGCCTGCAATTGTGTCATGTGAATGGGGAGGTAGAAAGACTCCTACCACAGGAATAGACCACGCTGAGGTACTTCCTGGTTCCGGGGAAGCAGGGGTCCCTGAAGGTCTGGTTGCTGACAACAACAGCACACTTGTGTTTGCTGTAGCAGGACGTAGACACCGAGTGCACAGCCTCGTGGTTCAGACACTCTGTAGGGAACAGCAGAGAGGAACTTAGGGAGAAAGTTACTGACTTAGGAACACAGTGTCAGTGTGTGTGTGCATGTGTCAGTTGCAATAGCTGAAACACTAAATCAATGTTTTGGTTGTAGCTCAACAACTATGACATTTTCTTTTTTTGACTGCAAGAAATTGATAACTCAATAAATCTATGATAGTTAAATGTTGAGTTTGCTCATTCTAAAACATCCAATGTTCAGAAAACGTACTTAAAGCATTGTTTTATATCAGTGTAAAGTTTTTATAGTTTGGAAAAACTAACAATTGACAATGAAATCTGGCCTTTCTCTCATATCCTCTCTCATAAGTATTTTTTCACAGCAGACAATGACTGCTACAAGTGAAAGCACAAATAAATATAAAAATAGCACACTCAAACAATGCAATCATTACTGAGTTTATTATCGACCCCTGCAATGGAATTTCGGTATGATGTGAAAAAACAGACTATACATTATTGCTTGTATTTCTCTTTAATTATCCAAAGATCCCTACTTTTTGTTTTTAATGCAAGTAAACAGATTGGGGCTGATTTCTCCCACGGGACTTTTCCCCATGTGTCCGTCTGCCAGGGACCTTTTTCACAGAAGACTTCTTGGCACTTCACAGTCGATAAAGTTGTAAACATTCAAATGAAATGATGGCGGAATTCCATTGGACTGCTTTAGTTTCAGGGCCCTGGTATTGTGCATGTTTACTCACTGCCACAACACTGATAAGGCTTACAGGGACACTTTATTTACCTCTTCTTACACAGAGACAGTTTTAATGTAACACCTGTGATTTCCTATCACTGTAAAAATGTCTATCAGAACACTGAGTATCTCGTTGACTCACCAAATGAGGGTGGTCTTGTCAGGTGTGAAGGGCAGGTGTAAATCTGGCCCAGACTTCTCCCAAAAACAGCTGCGTAGACGATCAGAACCTTTGGGCGCTTACAGCGCAGGATCATGGTCTCCCCCTCACACACCACGTGTCTTTTGTGTTCAGCTGCGCAAGTGGAAAAACAACAAAGATGAAGAGTTGAAGGCAGTGAATGCAGGGGGAGAGGTTAGGGTTAGGGAGGGGTGAACTTTTTGTTGCACAGCTGTGTAGCCATTTCATGCTCATCCACCCGTAGATGTATGAAAGAAACTCAAAGTTCACCAGGAAGCGATTCTACGATAACAAAAAGGTTTAGGAAAATGGGAATAGAGCTGCTGGACTCACTTGGTTTACACTTGTAGTCCACATGGAGGTATTTGGTAGTGCCAGGGCAGGGGTCCTTCCCAAACAGCAGGTGGTTGACAGGCAGATGGCAATCTCTGTGGCTCTGACACTCAGACAGCATCTTCTGCACGGGATACACCAGGGAGAGTCAGCATTTACCAGCACACAGGATGTATTCAGATGTAATTAAACTCAAACGTTTTGTTTTCGTATGCACATACGCTACAGTGTAGAGTTGGCAATGAAATGCTTCTGACCTGAGCTCCTCCAACAATGCAACGTATATAATAAAATACAAAAATAAAAAATAGTGCAAGAAGTCTATATACATGTAAATAGAATATGATATGTACAAGAACAGAATATTAAATTAAATAATTTACGTAATGTAAATTAAATACAATTTATTGCGGTGATAACTATCTATATAAATAAGTAGATTGCAAGATGACAAACAGGAATGTTTATCGGGGCACTTAACAGATTTATGTTACAATCCACAGTGCAAATCCAATGCAAAAACAATGATGGCTGATGGACTATGGAAGATAGTTGGTTGGCCTTTCATCTAAGGGTAGTCTCTACTAAATTAAACACATACTTTGAGAAAACACCTACACGATTAAACCACTGAGGGTAAACAGGGCTGTATGTCCAACACATAAAATGCACCTGTAGAGCAGTGAAAGCAGAGCAGCTGTGGTTGTGGGCTCTGAGCGGGGGGTCTGGGTCTGCTCTACACAGCTTGGCGTCCCCACTCCCGTAGAACGCAGTCTGAATGGAGATGGTGGAGTGACGAGGACAGTGGAGACGCAGTGGCTGTCCATCACATGCCTGGACAGAATGACTGGTGATGATCCTGGACAGGTAATCTGTCGCACAAAAGAGATGGGTTAGACTGGAATGCACATGGAAACATGCATTAAGGGGACCCTCCACCATGAAGTTCCATTTACTTACAGCTTGTGGAAATAGTGGTTTAACGTACTCTGTGGCTCTGAAGAGAGCTTTCTGAAGCTTAATAATAACTTGAAGATATCTTTGAAAAAAGATTTACTTAAAGGGAAAAGATGTATCATACATTTTGAAGCTTAGCCAATACAAGAGACTTTCTTGTTTGTTGCATTTTTTTTTCTCGATTTGTTTGGCCTCTTTGGAGCTCTGTTAGTTGTCTCACGTTGCTTTGAAAACTCACATATCAAAGTGCTGACTGCCAGATCTTTTCTCCTGGGTGGCTAACAACGCCAACTGGCATTCAACCTACGACGCACCTTTGTTCTGTGCAGATGTGATTGAGTTACCTTGTATTCAAAGTCACAAATCTTGAAACCTTTACATTATCAGAGAAAATGATTCTTGAATTAGACTAGATGGACAGTTGATAGACCAAATGCTGGAAAACCATTATCTGCATAGATCATTGCTGAGGATAGCTGATCTCAAGCATTGTTGTCAGTTTCTAAGCAAAACAAAACGTTACTCCTCTCAATGAGTCAATGTCTCTTTTACATGTGTGCGGTCCAATGCCAAAACTCAAGTGGGATTTTTGGGACAAAGTGTACAGGCTATTTAAAAACACTTATCGATGACATTATGCAAATATGTTTCACTACATCAATGTAGTCTTTTTTTATAACAGAAGGGTTCATGTGATCTTTCAACAGTTCTGGGAGAAGTTCTCAGATCATGTACAACATTTCATATATATTTTGAATATGTTTATCAAAGATGGTGCAGCTAGTTTTGTATACTGCAGGGTAGATGTTCAATGTTATTCCAGGCATAACTAAAGTCTTATTTGAGTGTTTAACATATCAAATCAATCAACAATAACTAAAGGTATTAAATAAATGTAGTGGGGAAGAAGTAAAAAGTAGAAATTATTAAAATACTCAATTAAATAACAAACTCCTCTAGTACAGTACTTGATTCAATGTACTAAGTTACACCACTGTCTTTAACCAAAACTATCCTCAAGTATGCTCTTCTCCCTTCCACTGCACCCCCATCCTCATCATCCTCCTCATCGTCTCTTACTTGAGAAGTCAGCCAGTCCCGTCATGCGTCTGGTCCCCAGGAGCAGAGTCAGGTAGAAGAGGCTGAGGCTCCATTCTGCTCCGCCGCTCATGACTCTCTGATCATATTAAAGACACTCAAACATTCACTGAGGGCTGCAGGACTTCATTACAATCCATACAAAAGCGTCCTCTTCTTGTAGCATACGCATTATAAAACGTAAGGTTTAAAGCCACCGCTTCTTCCATCCGTCTTGACTCTTGCTGGACAGAAAATGAAGCCCAGCGCGAGGTTAGAAATAGCTGCTGCGCAACAAGTTGGTCAAAAGTGACGCGGGGTTAATCCAATGCGTAGTGATACTCCAGTCTGCTACTGTTCAAACCCGCACATTGTGTGTATGGACTCATGTGGACACTGGGAGAATTTACAGTAGCAGCTGAGTGGGAATTATGGTGTGGGCGTGGCAGATACAACTATTTTAAAGGGAAGAGGCGCGACACAGTCCATGGTATGACGCACTGACAAAGACCTTTTTTATTTTTTCCCCCCATGAGGCACATGTTTACCTTCTGGATTGTGGCGCTTTCATTCTGTGAGGATTGTGTGTGTTTCCTTCCCTTCTTTCACAGACTGACAGGCCTATACAGCCAACTTCTTTGTGCATTGGTTAATTATATTTAGGTGGAGGTCATTATGTAGCCATTTGGGTCTTTTTTTTAAACTGTCTCTACATATTTATTTGTAATGTATTTACATGCCGTTGTTTAATTTTAACATGTGCTAATGAACAAAAAGCTGTGGATATTTAAGTATAAACAGTCATATATATATATAGAAAGTTTTATTCCTGAAACAGAAAGAACAAATACTGTTACAGCAAGATGGCAACCCTTTAATCCAAAAATAGTGCCATTGATAAAAACAAGTCAAACTGTTAATTATGCGTTATCTCTGTGTCCCAAGTTAAGTTCAGTGGAGTTGCATTTTGATTCCTTTTATAAAGTATTGATGGCCTATCCGTCGTGCCTTTGAATGAAGCAGGGGGCCTACTGTGTAAATTGCTCCCGGGCCCACATCCATGACCCCCACCATGGTAACCGGTCACTCGACATGTCAGACTGAGGCGCAGACCTACAACAGTCAAACTGACGGAGACGTTGGCCCCCGCGCTCAGCTCCTCAGGGGGAAGACTGGCAGGGGGAGGAACTGAGGTGATATTTAGCATACAAACGGGACAACAGGCCCCCTAGTCACTCCCATTCTCTCTACTTTAGCTTTAGGCACCCAGGGAGTGGCTCCAAACCCCCTTTCATGTGCTGTTAACCCTCCAAAGCCTGTGGAATTTTGCTGTCAAACTGAAAAAAGAAGAAGTTTCCTGCACTTTGTTTTTAAAGAAAAGATCCAGCACATCATTATTAGATGCATGTCTTGTGCTTTTTGTGAAAAAGTCCTGACATTTGCAGTCTAATGTTAACCCAGTTAAAAAAAACGTATGGATTTTTGTCCAATTGTATGGATCATGACAACAATCTACATTTTGAATAAACAATATGTCTTGACATGTACCAATAAGGCACATTAAGATATTGGTATAGAAGACAATCTAAAATATATTGCAAACATATCATTCCTTTAAAATGCTAATTTGAACACACTAAAGAAATGCAAAAATATGTTTAGGCAAAGAGATTTATAAATTGTCTTACAAACAAACTTGGATAAAAGAAAAATGTTCCCATGTTAAGTCACACCGCCACAATCAGAAATCAGATAGTAGAAAATGAAAACAAAACATTTGATTATTGTTAATGATGTTTTGTAATAAACAGGAAGAGGGGGAGAGAAACCAAATCGGTCAAACGAAAAAAAAGAGGAATCATAATTAAAACTTTCAACTTAAATTTGTCATCCAAATACAGTAAGTTCTTTATTAAAGCACAATTCCTTCAAAGTAACCACATTTCCTGTCTATGGAGGTTAATTTATTCACTTACAACCTTCAAGAGAGGCAGACAGTCATGTGATTAGTTTGAGACACATTGGCAAGTGAAACACATTACAAAGAGCGAAAGAGGCACACGTAGAAACAATGACTTTATTCTTTTTTTAAACACAGTAAAACCTTTAACATTAAAAACATCATAACTCTAAATCAATATTCATCTGAAGTTGGGAACCAATTGCAGCCTGTAATTGAGGAAACACATTGGAATTAAAATAAAGAGAAAGCCAGCACCTCTCCTCCATCTTTAAATAAACTATTACGATACTCACCAATTCTCTTTTTGCTTCTTCGATTTTCACTTGAGCAAGAGATGGGCTCTGTTGTGGATTAGAAAGGTAAGAACATAAAGTTAAATACAGACAATCAAGTTGTTTCGATATATCTATTTGTTGAACTGTAACAAGAAAAACACCAGGCTTTTTTACCGGGCTTAAGTCCATGTAAGGCTTCAGTTTGTTCTTCAATGGGATTATTTCTTGTTTCAGGGCTGTGGCTTCCTACAGAGAGAAAGATAAGACCACGCATTACAAACCCTGAAAGCAGAACGTTTTAGCTTCTCATCGCCATGGAGCTGCACTGTGTTGACACGTAACAGCTGAAGTTACCTCAGAGAGCTGCACAATAGCCTGGTGGGTGAGAGACTTGTTCATGTTCCTGGATACCAGCTGAGCCTGAAGGAAGGAGAGAAGAGAATCAAACATCCAGAGAGGCTCACACACTGAGCTCCGTCACCCCCGCTGTGATATTCAAAACATCCGGTGTTTCCTGACAATGATCCCGAGGGCGTTAACTGTTGGACTCGTCCGCAGCATCATCTCTGCGCTCTGAACCAGAGGCAGTAACGTGATGCCCTCTTTATACCCGGGTCACACTACAGTCGGTATTTATTATCCAAAAATAGTGAAAAGGACTGTGTGGGCCAGGGAGTTATTTGCTATTTCAAACAGCCAACTCGGCACATTTGGTATTTTGCAACATGATTAAGCTTTGAAACAATAATTCTACAAATGAAAATATGCTATGACCACGTTTCTCAACCTTTTGCAGCTGAAGGCCCACTCGTGATTGAAACAAAAAAAGCTGGCATGTTGATGTTCAAATGTAACTGGTAATAGAAGTTAGTTTTTCTTTTCGTCAAACCCTGAGCACATTTCATTAAAAAAGTATTCTATCATACCATCTGGCCATTTATGTATCTCTATTGCCCACTAGATGGCGCTGTAAGGCCCACTGGTTGAGTATAGATGAACACATGAACACTGACATTCAATTTTTAGCATCCTAAAGTTTACTGCTCTCCCAATGCTAGGGAAGAGAGTTTTCAAAATGCCCTTTCACCACTCTACATGTTATCATTGGAATTCAATTGGCTTGAGTTAATTGTCATTTTCTCTAAGGAGACAACTCATTTAAACCTTTTCAAGGAATTTTCAAAGATGGAAACTTTCCATGGGAATAAACGGGAATTTAAGGGAATAAACTGGGAATTTTCTAAATTGATGGTTGGCTAAATATAGTTGGGGAAAGTATAAAACAAACAGATGCCATTCAAGCACACTTGAATATCCATGCCATTCCTCCATCACATGCACATAGCACACTGCTTACTGCATGGCTATTGAGACCACACCCCCTACAGGCACTGTGCATTCCTCCATCACATGCACACATGATTTCTTGTGGGGATTTTTGGATGGGGGGTGCATTTGATTGAGTGGTGTTGGGGGGGATGAGTAATATTTAACTCAACATTCATGTTTTTGTTCTTCAATGAAACAAATGATTGTTCAATAAAATAATAAAAACGTCTGTTCTACTTACAAATCAATCTGTTGAAATGTCATGTTTTTTTTTAATTGTATCATTTTGCATGGATGTCTTCTTATGACAAAACGAAATGTTTATAAACTTTATATTTATGCTTGGATATGATGCAATTAGATTACATTAACCTCAATTCCAAGTTAATTCCCATAAATTCCCATGGAAGGTTTTCAATATGGAATATTTCCAAAATTCCCAAGCTTAACTTCCCATGGAAATGTACCGGAAATGTTCCGCCCCTTTGCAACCCTAATAGCAAGTTTCCATTAGTACAAATTGGCTTAACCAGAGCAAACCTTCCACTTAGGTATTAAGATTTGAAGCAAAACAGCTAGAAATGTAAAAACTCTTATATATTTTTAGAATTATTTGCATTTTCTACTTCCCCCCCCCAGTATTTTAAGTATTGTATTATAAAGTCTGAACACACGAAATGATTTACCAATAAAGTATCTATCCATCTTATCCTTTTCAATAGTAGTATACTGTTCGTTGACTTAGCACCACAATGCATTATGCAGCTCATGCAGATAAGATTGAAACCCCACAGCGTACCTCTGCCCTCTCCCGTCTGCTGCTGAGCTCTTTAGTCTTTGCCCTCACAAAATCCATGTTGAGCATTCTTTCCTCTGCTTTGGCGCTCTCCACTGACTGGTATTTGATCGTTTGGTTGACATCCCTGAAGACAATTAAAAACACAGATTACAATGACATACAGCAGCAATGTCTCTGTGTTTGTTTTTAGTAAGAATATCCTCTGTATTTAGTTCTTAAACCTTCTTCACCCTTCAGTAAAGGGAACTGAGAAATGACACACCACCACTATGTGCAATATAAATACCATTACCATCATTACAAGACACTCTGCTATATAACGTGCAATATTATTATTATTAATAATGTTCGATAAATAACGTGCAATTACGTAACTACCACTACGGTTTTTGCACTACTAGAATATTTACATGAATTATGTGACCGTCTGTGTTTCCTGTAGTTATTGAATTGCTCTTTTTACACTTTTATTATTATTGTGCTGCTGCTATTTGTGTATCTCTGGCACAACAATTTCCTTCGGGATGAATTAAGTCCTATCTTATCTTACTCTTGTAGGTTGCTCCGCAGCACCAGAGTGGTCCCTAGTCTCTTCCTGAGGGCTCTGAGTTCCCTCTCAAGTCTCCTGTTGGACTTCTCTTCTTCCAGGAGTTCATTGGTGAGGTTGTTTACAGCTGGCATGAAGCTAGACAAGACATCAAATACAAACTGTTAAATCTCTCTTTCACCTGAAAAACTACTGCGCAAAAAACCCATTTCACCTGCTTAGTGATGTGTCTCTGACTCCAAGCACCATGGCATTGTCCACTAAAGCAGACAAGTAGTCAGAAGCGGGCTTTGAGACGCTTGAACAGGAAAGACCTACGCCTTGTAGAAGAACATCACGGATATGAGCACCTGGGAGGAGGAAACACAGTTGAGATCTGTGAAAAATAATGACGTGGAGTCCTTGTGCTTTTAATTAATGGACCATCTAACCTGAATACAGTCAAAGGGAAGCATGTTTCGCAATTAGAATTCCTTCATTTTTCCCTCAACAGGGACATTTACGTTATTATAACAGCAGAATTAACGGACAAAGGATAACGGATGAAGTAAAGAGTATCAACATACATATTAAAAAAATACCAAAGTAGGCACACATTATCAATAATAAAAAACACAATAGGTAGAAAACAAAATAGATAAGTACATACTTCTCTTGCACTATTTTATCGGTTTTATTTGTTCTATATCTTATATATATGTTGCACATTTGGAGGAGCCTGTGACCTAAGTGTGTCACATCTACACTGTAGCTAATGTGCAAATGACACAAGCCTTGAAACTTGGTAATTCTTTTTTTTTTTTAAAGTAGCCATTTAACACAAATTAAAGGTTTATTACAAGTTGGGTCTTTTGGCTGTGGCCATTAATCTTTGTAATAAGAAAACATTGTAATCACTACAATAATTGCTGAGATCTAGGTAACAACATGTGCCAAAAAAGCTAAATGTCACTGTTTTTAATTCAGCTGTGTCTGTTGTTCCTCACCTTCAGCCTGATACTCTGATGCTTTCTGTTTGAGGTCTTCCGAGAGGAGAGCTGTGTCTCTGCACCGGGCTTCACTGGACTGAGCCAGCTGGAACAGGATGTCCACGGTCCTGGTGTTCACCTCAAAGTGAGGCACCGGCTGATCTCCAAACACCTCGCTGAGCCAGCTGTTCACCTGAGGACAAGACATGAAGCATGACACACAATGGTAAACAAAACATCACTAAAGTTAACTTGCTCATGGTAGTAATACACTGAACACTACCTTACTGATCTTTTCACACATGACGAATGAAAGGGTGACCACATCAACTTGTTCGCTTCATAAAACGTATTAAAAAAAAAATGCAGCCTTAAAACAAGTTTCAGCTTTCGCGCCCGGTCAACCGTTCGAATAACTTCCGGTTCACCAGCCAATGAGAATTTGATAAAATGTCCTAGCTACTTTTGGTGACAATAATGATTCACACTTTTTAAAGGAATATTAAAGATTGACAAGTTGAATAAATAAAAGCAAAAATATGACGAAATGGGTTAATACAAAACAATCAAGTTTTCGCTCTTGGCAAAGTTTTTCCGGTTCACGTTTCCCAAAGATAAGAAGCATATCAAGATGGTTAACGTCGGTTCTCCTGAAATGGAAAAGCTCCATTTAGGGATTATCACACTGACAAATATATCACAACAATTTGGAAACATGTTTTTTATTAGCCAGTACGGACAACACCAGGAAACACTGGGCACACTTTCAGATTGTTAGCTTTCCAAAAGCACAATTCGTCAAGGTTGGTTCTTCACTATCAGACGAACGCGGAAGTACACATAAGTTATCATCTCGCGATAAAGGATCGTCGCACTCCACTTTTTTTCAACCACGTTACCGCGTAAGTTCAAAACAGCTTCATTTTGAGAAAATAGTAGACATGGCGTCAAAAGTGAATTCGTATAAACACCGCCAGACATTTATAAATACAACGTTTGAGTCCAGCATAGACTCCACTGCGGTCGAGGAAAAGTTGTTTGCCCATTCAGTGGAGGAAGACGACGGACATGCGGTCTTCATCTGCGGGAAGTGCAAGCTGCCTGTCGGGGATTCAATGTCCTGGGATGGGTCTGAAGCGTCTGAAGAAGGACACAACCAGATAAGATTGAAGCGTGAGTATGGGGTTAGCCTGCTTATTTTATTCCTTTTTGTGTTGGTTCACATTATAACGTTACAGTTAACCAACTAAATATTCGGGTGAAAGGTTTTTCAAACTGCCCAAACAACATATACGTACGTAACATCTTATCCATCACTTCAACTGTTAACTTGGACGTTAGCAAGCTCATTGGTGCAGTTTTAGGAAGTCTATTACAATGCTGCGTTCAAATGCAGTTGTTAAGGTTGGGAAAATAAACATATCGATTTTACATTATGAATACAATGCTGCGTTTTGTGCTGACATGGTTGTGATGTTTTGGTCCTAGGGGTCACTGACAACGTCGTGGTTGGAGAAGACACTCGCCTGCATGAAGTGAGCAAAAAGTCTCCCTGGTAAGAAGGAATAAAGTAAATACAAAATAAAAATAAACATTTAAAAAGCTTTGTCTATCCTCGTCCAGAAAAAAATAAGGGAGACTTGTTTTTGGAGGATGATTCAAAAATAACTCGTCAATATTACCTTCCCACAACCAAAATACTTCGTGGCCCATAATCATATAGTGTTAACAGTTCAAACATACCTTTTTATAATAGGGTTACAAAATGGAAAGGACATTTTAAAGGTCACCTATTATGCAAAATCCACATTTTCATGTATTTTATACATAAACATGTGTCCCATCTGTGTAAAGAGATTCTGAAAGTTTCAGGAAAAAATATTCTCTTTTTCTCCTGATCATTTATATAAAAAAATGTTTGCCACTTTATGATGTCATAACGATTTGTTGGCTTGTGCCACCATTAGCCAATCACCAACCAAGGTAACCCCGCCCCCCCACCTTATCACCTGAATCTCCTCCGAGAGCACCATTGTGTTCTTTTTAACCAAATATCTCTCAGAGGGGCGTGGGGAGTGGCTCCTTATTTTCATCTAAAGTAACCGACAGAGAATCAGCACTTTGGAAACAGGGCTGAAACAGAGGGGATTATGGGATGCTGCAATGATCTGTTTGGTGTTTGGAACACTTCAGAGACATGTCTGTATATATCTGAGATATATACAGACATGTGTATATATATATATATATCTAGATATATTGATAAAAAACAGTATAATAGGCTGAGATGGAGTATTAGAGTCCTGGACTCGGACTCGAGTGCCGATTTTCATGACTCGACTCGGACTCGCGCACTGATTGACACGACTCGGACTTGGACTCGTGAATTCTCGCGTTTTTTCCTCCTTATTTAGATGGGCCTTTGCCTTTCCCCCTGACCCTTCCTTCCCCTCCTATTTTTTTTTTTTTTTTTTTTTTCCCTTGTTCCCACCCTGTTTTCCCCCCCAAAATTAAGGGGTTGTTTTCATAAGAAGGGCCCCCAAACCCGGGTAAAAATTTTTTTTTGTTTTTTTTGTTTTGGGGGGTTGGTTAAACAAAGGAAAAGTTTTTTTTTTCCCCCCCAAGAAAAGGATAAATTTAAGTCAACAAACAAAATTTCAAAATTTCAAAAGGGTTGGGGTTAAGGGGTGCCCCCTTTTAGGGTAACAAGGGGGGTGAGGAAAGGTCCAAGGGTGGTTTGAGAAGCTAAAGGCCTTTTTAGGGGTTTCCCAAAAAGGGCCTCAGGGGGTTGGATCCCCCCTCCCTCAGCCCCCATTCCCCAAGGGGTTTTTTTTCCCGGGTTTCAGTTTTGGGGGGTTTCCCCTCACCAAGGCCTCAACCTTCAGGGCATTTTTCCCCCCAGATTTTTAAGGGGTAAAAATGGAACACAAAGCGCCTCCAGAGCACTTTATCCCAAGTTTTTATATATAGAGATATATTACATTTATACATATATACACCAAGGTTTATTTTTCAGGTATCCAGGTCAATACAAGAGAGAGAGAGGAGTATTATAATATTTACCCAGAGAAGAAGATAAAAATTTAAAAAAATTTTTTTTAGAAGCAACCCTTATTACCAACCAACCTTTGTTTACATTTTTCCCCGTTCCGAAGGGGAGATTTGTAACGGAAAAATAAAAAAAAGGGAACCCCAGGGTAACAACATTTTGAATTTTTAGACCCAATTTACTTTTTTGATTTTCCCCAAAAAAACGATAATGTGTTTAATTAATTTTTTTTTTTTTTTTTTCCGAAATAAAAAAATTGATTATAAATTTTAAAATTTAAATATAACAATTTTTATGTATACCTTGGGGAAAATTTAAAATAACCACCATTTTTGATAATTAAATTTTTTTGAAAAAAAACTCCAAAAAAATGGGGAAAAAAATTTTTTTTTTTCCCCATTTTTAAACCTTAATTATAAAAACCAAATAACGGGTTATAAAAAAAAGAATAACCATTTTTCCAAAAAAGTTAAAAAAAAACCCGGGGTGAAAATTAAAACCTATTTTCCCATTTTTTATTTTTTCCCCCTAGCAAAAACCTGAAGAATTAAAAAACCTTCCTTTTTTTGAAAATGGCCCCTTTTTCCAATTACCCCCCCACCCTTGTTTTGTTCCCCCCCTTCCCGTTTTCCCAACATTTTTTTTTGGTTGTGTAAAAGTGGATATTACCCCCTGGTTTTCCTTTATCTACCTACCCTTTTATTTTAAAATTTGGATAATGGGGATTGTTTATCCAATTTGTAACCCCAAAAAAAATCCCCCCTTTTTTTTTTGGGGGGACCCGACTATTTCCCCCGTTTGGGGTTTTTTTTCGAGACATTTTGCCCCCAAAACCATTTTTTTTAACCTTAACCAATAAAATTTTTTTTTTTTCGTTCCACCTCCTAAGGTTAATTTTTTTTTTTTTTTGTTCCTATTTGGGTTCAGCAAATTCCTTTCCCTTTTTTTCCCACAGACCTTGGGTTAACCCGTTAACAAAGGGTCCGGGCCACTGCCCCCGGATGGGGGTTAATAAATAATTTCAACACCCCCCTTACCCAAATTTTGTAAAAAACGAAAATAGGGGGGTTTTTATTTCTAAATTTTTCCCCGGGGGGGCGTCAACTTTCCCCCGTGGGGTACCCGAAAAAAATTTGAAAAAATTTTTCGTAAACCCCCCCGGTTTTTTAAAAAACCCCCCCCCCTGTCTAAAAAATTTTCAAAAAAATCGGGTGAATAACACGGGGAAAAGCAAAACCCCAATGCCCCCCCACCGACTTAAGAAATTTAAATTTTTTAACTAAAAATTTTCCCCTAGTCTGCCAAAAAATTGGAAGAAACCCTAAACTAAATTCCAAACAAAAAGCTTTTTTCCCCCCCCTCGTCCCCTTATATAAAAAAAAACAGACTTTTTTTTTTTGAAGCTAGGGGGAAAATCTCCATTACACAATTGCCCCCCCCCTCGGAAAAAAAAGAGGAAAAAGTTATAAAAAAAAGGGGCTGGTTATTTTGCCCCCTTTTTCCCCCGTAAAACCACCAGAAACCCTTCTGTAGAAAAATCCTTGGAACCCCTTTATCCCGCCGGGTCAAACGAAAACCTTTGGAGCCCCCGGGAGCCCCGGTTCCCAAAAAACGTGGGTGCCGGGGGGGTCCCCCTTAATCCCTTCCCCCCCCCCTTGTTAGGTCCGAAGGTCTCCCCGCTTTTTCTTTTTTTTTTTTGGGGAAACCCCGGAGCCTCCCAAAAGGCTCCCCAAGGGTTCAGCCCCCTGGCCCCAGTTTTTTTTTTTACCAATGTTTCCCCCAAGCTTCCCCCCCCCAGGGCTTTTTTTTTCCAAAAGGGGGTTTAGCAACCCCCCCCCCTTTTTTTTTTTTTTTTTAAGTTCCCTCAAAGGCTTTAGGTAGCCCCCCATGCGCCTTCCTTAAAGGGTTGCCCTCCCCCCCAA